CCTTCCTGGCATGATAACCAGATCGAGGGTACCTTGTAGCATGACAGCTTTTTAGAGAGCACTTGACAAAGCCTCTCCCCTAGTGACCCTGATTATATGTTACTGTATGTGTCTTAATTAGGACTCTGTTGTTGTGATGTAACACATGCCAGAAAGCAACGTTGGGGGAAAGGGTTTATTTAGTTTACACATTCCAGATCACAGTTCACTGAGGGAAGCCAGGACAGGAACTCAAACCTGGCAGGACCCTGGAGGCAGGAGCTGAGGCAGGGCCATGAAGGAGTGCTGCTTACTGGCGTGCTTTTCATGGTTTGCTCAGCCTGTTTTCTTATAGCACCCATGACCACCAGGCCAGGGTTGGCACCACTCATCATGGGCTGTGCTTTCCCATGTCACTGATTAAGAGAATGCCCTCCAGGATTGCCTGCAGCCAGATCTTATGAAAAAAAGCAAGCTAGGCCAGGCAGTAGTGGCAAACACTTGGGAAGCAGAGGCGGGCGGATCTCTGTGAGTTTGAGACCAGCCTGGGCTACAGAGTGAATTCCAGGACAGACTCCAAAGCCACACAGAGAAACCCTGCGGGAAAACAAAAACAAAACAAAAGACAGTGGAGAGGAGAAAGACAGAAACACAGGATAGCTTCGGGAGGGCCTGGATCAAAATCTATCGGCCCCTTCTCTCTTCAAAAGGGCTTTTGATAACAATGTGAAGGGGCAGTGGGGAGGGGGGAGTAAAAGACCTCGCCCTTGCTAGATCAAAGCACACTGCACAGCCAAATGCAGACCCTTCCAAACACCTGGTAGCCATGCCCATGGTCCAGTCATTCCCCTATGCAGCCCTGCTGGGTAAAGCAAGCTCAGACCTTACTAGGAAACCTCTGTGGGTCTCTACAGAGGCAGGGGATCTCTGAGTTCGAGAACAGCCTGGTCTACAGAGTGAGTTCCAGGACAGCGAAGGATACACAGAGAAGCCCTGTCTCGAAACAACAATAAAAACTGGCCAGCACAGTATGTTCTTTATTTTTATTCTGTAAGTGGTATGGGCACAGAGAGACCCAACTCTCTAGTGTTGGGTGCTAGGAACTAAACTCCGGTCCTGTGCTTTTAGCCTTGAGTCATCATGTTTTAAGGTTTTTTTGAGACAGTCTTGCTGGGGTGGTAGCACACACCTTTAATTCCAGAGGCAGGGCAGGGGGCCTCCTTGAGTTTGAGGGCTACCTTGTCTATGTTGCTCCAGCTAGGGCTACATAGTGTGCTAATGAGGCTCTCAAGAAGAGAGTCTGACTAACCCTGGCTGAACTGGAACTCACTGTGTAGCCCAAGCTGTTCCGGAACGTACTGTGATCTGCCTGCCCCAGCCTTCAAGTGCTGAAATACCAGGCCCCAGGTATTACTCCATTAAAGCTCCAGCTGGAGATACCAACAGTGGGAATGTGGGAGTTAAGTTTCCAACACATGAAGACATCAAGGAGACAGGGTCACAGCACAGGTCCCCCACATCCATTCCCAAGCCTGTTGGGTTCACCCAGGAGGAACCTTCGCTTTCCTCTCTCAAGTCATTGGCCAAAGCAAGACATGCAAGCGTGCCAGAGTTCCCAGAGGGAAAGGCTGGGGACAGACTAGGGATTTGTAGACCATCTACTTCGGGTAGGTGGACCAAGAAGAGACAGAACTACACAGGGCTGGAGGTGTGGGTCAGCAGTAGAGCCCCTGCCTAGAATCACCCAGGAAGGGGCTGGGACACAGTTCAACAGTAGAGTGCCTGCCAGGAGTGTGGGAAGTCCTGGACTCAATCCCTAGAACTACACAAAGAAGATACCTAGTGTTTTTGTCCAGTTTAGGGTAGAAGAAAAACTTCAGCTTATAAAGGACTAGGGGCTAGCCAAGCTCTCACAGTGACAAAGCCAGCACTAGCCTGACACCTGTCAGACTGGTTGTGACAAATCCCCTGAAGTGATACACAAGGCAGCTTTGGAGCTCCAAGAATGACACTGCTCAACAAGCTAGCCATGACCTGCCCACCCGACACTGTGCAGCAGCAGTAGGGCTGCAGAGCACAGAGGAGCATACATGGGCAGATTACAGCTGGAGGCTGGGGATTGAATGCTTTGGTAGGCCCAGGCTGGCTTCAGTCTCATAGTGAAATGATTTTGCTGGGAGTAGAGGTGTGCACTGCCTAGCCTGCTGCTGCCATGCTGGAGAAGGAATCCAGGGTTTCATGCACACTAACCTAGCAATGGACTATCTGCAGCCCCAGGATCTAGAGATGAGATCACCATACATTATCTAAATTGACCCTAAATCCAAGAACAAGCAACCTGTGACTCAGAGAAGACGCTGCAGAGGCATGTGCAGAGGGGTGAGGAGAGGAGAGGTCAGAGGGAGCTGCAATACTATAGCCCTTCTCCCCTGGGTCCTGCAGAGGGAGCCAGCTGGACTTCCAGCCTTTAGACCTAATGGAGATAAACTCCCCCTACACACACGCACACACACACACACACACACACACACACACACACACACACGCACACACGCACACGCACACGCACACATACGCACAGGGTTTCTCTGTATAGCCCTAGCCATCCTGGAACTCGCTCTGTAGTCCAGGCTGGCTTCAAGCTCAGAGATTCATCTGGCTCTGCCGCCCGAGTGCTGGGGTTAAAGGCGTGCGCCACCACTGCCTGGCAGGGGATAAACTGTGGTTTCCAGCCACTCAACTTGTAATCTCTTGTTACATCAGCAGGAAGCTAACACCAGAGTTGTCCCAACAAAGAATGGCAAGAAAAGGGCTGCAGAGGCCCCACATCATCTCTGGGACCGTGGTCTAGAGGCCCCACATAATCTCTGGGACCGTGGTCTAGGTTGGGGGCTTTTGCTGGAAAGACTGGGGGTCCTGGAGGTTGAGACTGCATCATTTCAACATTTTTCATCTGAGACAGGGTTTCTCTGTGTAGCCCTGGCTGTCCTGGGACTTGCTCTGTAGCCCAAGCTGGCCTCGAACTCACAGAGCTCTGCCTGCCTCGGCATCCCAAGTGCTGGGATCAAAGGCGTGGGCTACCTACACTCAGTCCATCATCTGGCTTTTTGAGACAGGGTCTCATGTAGCCCAAGCTAGGCTGAAACACAAGAGAAGACTTTTTTACTGTTCGGAATTCATACTGTGGCTCTGGTAGGTCGGCTGACAGAGTCCCTGAACCTTCCAGCAGGTGGGTGACTTATCACTCAAGGTGCCACCACAACACCCTCGGGCTTTTTCCTTTCAGATTTATTTATGTTGTATGTGCGTGTGCTGTGGTTTGCACATGAAGGGCAAAGCAGTTTTTGAAAGTGGGCTCTCCCCTCTTGTGGGTCCCAGAGATTTAATTATCTGGCTTCAAAGTTGGCACCTTTACCTGTTGAGCCATCCTGCCAGCCAGCCTTGGTTTTGGTTGGTTGGTTGATTGGCTGGTTGGGTTTTCTTTTGTTTTGTCTTAGGTTCTTGAGACAGGGTCTCACTGTGTAGTCCAGGCTGGTCTGCAGCTTGCTATATTGGCTAGACTGTCCTTGAACTCACAGAGATCCGTCTGCCTCTGCCTCTCCTGGTGTTGGGATTAAAGGTGGCATCACCATGCCCTGCCTACTTTGAGACAGGGTCTTTTGTTTGTTTGTTTTTGGTTTTTCGAGACAGGGTTTCTCTGTGTAGCTTTGGAACCTGTCCTGGAACTCGCTCTGTAGCCCAGGCTGGCCTGGAACTCACAGAGATCCACCTGGCTCTGCCTCCCGAGTGCTGGGATTAAAGGCATGCGCCACCACCGCCCAGTTGAGACAGGGTCTTACGTAGCCAAGGCTAACCTTGAACACCTAGCTCTACTACCTCCAACATACCATATTCTTCATTCTCAGTCTTTCAGGCACAACCTGCTCCTTTCTGAATGGCCTCAGTGGGAACTCAGGTGCAGTCCACAAACAATGGCACTCCCTCCCCATACTTGGAAAATCCCAGGCTTATCTCCCAGGCACCAAACCCAAACGCAGACACGTGTGCTGCACAGCAGTGGTGGACTAGGAAGAGTCGGCCTGCCGGCCACCATCGAATGAACACCTATGTGGTTGGTGCTGCGCCCAGACAGGTACAGTGCTCAGTGCAAGGGCTTTGCAGGGTGGAAACAGCCACCGAAGAGGCCGAGACAATGGGGAGATAAGTCAGCCACAGGATGTGTTCAGTGGTGATAAGAACAGGGCAGGGTGAGCCCGCTGCTGCGAGGGGCGTCGTGAAGCCTCGGCCTTGTGTGTTTAAGACTTCGATGAGATGGGGAAGACATAGGTATCTGGAGGGAAGGGTATTCCACACACTGAGGAAACAGCCAGGGCCAGAGCCTTGGGCTGAGTATACTCACCTCAGCCGGGCGGGGGTGGCGCACGCCTTTAGTCCCAGCACTCGGCAGGCAGAGGCAGGTGGAACTCTGTGAGTTTGAGGCCAGCCAGCTTCCAATCTTCAGTCCTCCTGCCTCAGGCTCCTTGGTAGCTGATGTTACCGGTCTGCACTATCACCGCCCCCGCTGAAGACTGGACTTTTTTTTTTTTTTAATCTCGAAAGAATCAGGAATCCAGAGACTGGAGGGACTCAGCTGACAGGTTCACAAATTCTGTCCCCTGGGAGCAGTTGGGGGCTAGGAAGCAGGGAACTCAGAAAGGAGGCCACGGTGACATTCTTCGTGGGAGATGGTGGAGGCAAGGCCAGTGCCGTGGCAGTTGATGTGATGGGCACTGGTCAGATTCTATATCCATTTCGAAGCTGGAAGGCCTGGTTGCGACCTTAGCTAGTTCACCGTGTCGCTGTCCGTGCGCTGTCCTAGCTGAGGCCTGTGGCCGTCACTTGTCACCACTAGGTGGCGCGTCCCGCCCGGGCACGAACACACCCCTTACACAGTCTACCCCAAAGTTTCCTTTCACTTTCGGTCTTTGGCTGTCACCCAGCCTGGTCTTTCCACACCCAGCTGGGGCAAGCCTGGTGCGTGGGGTGAATGGCTTTCCAGGTCCCCGAGGGGCGGTCCCAGGGTCCCCACTCCCGGGCCGAGGGAGCAGGGTGGGGGCCTGGGGAGGATTCTGGGGACCGGTTTCTTAGAAGGGAAGATGACTTTTCACCGTCACTGGGGCTCATGCAGGAAGCCCGAGGGAGCAGGAGGCGGAAACGTGCCCACATCAAGGGCGGCAGGACGGGGCGGAGGGGTACAGGGGCGAGCGCAGAAGGGGCTGCAGGGTGCGAGGCCTGCCCTTCTGTCCCTTCCAAGACCCTGCCACAGGCATGAGGGGTCTCCGGCCGAGATGACAGTGCTGGTGCCAGCCTGGAGCCCCAATGTGCGTATACCTGAGGGATGATGGAGCAGGGCGGAGAAGGGAGATGGGTAAGGGATGGAGAGAGACCCGGGATGGTCAGAAGAAAGAGGACGATGAGATGGAGAAATGTGGACTCAGGCAGGACAGGCAGAGACAGGAAGGTGACAGACAGACACGCAGTTAGGGAAGGAAGGGCATACAGGGAGTCAGCCCTGCGCAGTGGACGCTGACATGGCCTCTTGTAGCCTTCGCTGCTGCTGCTGCTGCTGCTGCTGAGCCCGTGCCTGCGGGGCACACCTGACTGCTACTTCAGCCACAATCCCATCTCCTCCAACTTCAAAGTGAGGATCGGAAAGCTGGTGAGCGGCTCCCACCAGGCCGCCGAGCTGGGGCCCCCACATCTCTGCCCTGTCTCTCAGTGTCTCTGTCTCTGTGGGGTCTCGTTCCTGGGTCTGTCACTGTCTCTCTCTCTGGGTCCCTACTGTCTCTTTGGATCTCACTCTCTGGTCTGTCATTGTCTCTCTTTGGATCTCTCTCTCTCTCTCTCTCTCTGGGTCTCTGTCACTGTCTCTCTCTGGGTCTGTCTCTCTCTCTCTCTCTCCGAGTCCCTGTTCTGGGTCTGTCTCTGTTTCTCTCCAGGTCTCTCTCAGTTTCTAGGTCCGTGTTCCTCTCTGCCCCCCTCTCTCTGGCTCTCCCTCTCTGTGGGTCTCCCCGTGCTGTCTCCTGTCCCTTCTCTATATGGTGTCCATGTCCCCTTGTCTCAGGGTCAGTCTCCAACTCCTCCGACTCTATAACCTGTCCCCTGCTTTCAGTCAGGCCTCACCTTGTTTTCTCCCACAGACTGACTACCTGCTTAAAGATTACCCAGTCACGGTGGCCATCAACCTTCAGGACGTGAGTCACAGTCGGGAGGGCCCTGGGATGGAGGTGGGACCCAGACTCAGATGTGCCGCCCTTCAGGGACAAGGCTAGTGGGCGGCCCCCTCTTCCCTCAGACCTGGGGACCTGGACCCAGGCGTTCGAGCTCAGTCGTTCAGAAGTCTGGCCGGCCCCTCTCCCCTCAGGCTCTCAGACCGGCCTCACTGATCGTTGCTCCCTCAGGTGTAGCGGGCCCCTCCCTCCCGTCTGGGGTCTCGGACCTGTACCCCTGCCACTTCTCCCCCTTGGTGTCTGGCCGTGCCCCACGTCACACGATTGGCAGGCCACCGTTCTCACCCCTCCGGTCTCCAGCAATGCCCCCCTCTCAGGACCCCGGCCCCGCCCAACCCACCTTAGGCATCTGACCACGCCCATCCTCTTCAGACACCTAGCCCCGCCCCCGCTCAGCCATTTGGCCCCACCCATCCCTTCCGTCCGTCACCCGCCCACCCTCCCTCACCCCTCTGGCCGGCTCATCCCGTTAGTCATAAGGTAGCACCCCCCCCCGACACGCACCCCTCCACCCCCGCCCTGTGACTTGAACTGGGCTCTTGCTCTGCAGGAGAAACACTGCAAGGCTTTGTGGAGCCTCTTCCTGGCCCAGCGCTGGATGGAGCAACTGAAGACTGTGGCAGGGACCGAAATGCAAGAGCTCCTGGAGGCCGTCAACACCGAGATACATTTCGTCAGGTCATGCGCCTTCCAGGTTAGCGCTGGAACTTGGTAACAAAATAAAGGAGCCAAGTCCCTCCCCAGGCCTTGAAGCAGATACGGCTCTGCTAGGTCTTGTGGGGGTGGAGGTGGGGGTGGGGTTCTTTTGCGGACAGCATACCACAGAGGTAGAGCTGGAACCTCCAAGCCCTAAGGTCACCTGGGGACCCTGTTACTGGGTCTGTGCCTCAGTAGGTGAAGAAGGCCATTACTAAGGGGTTCTCTCCCCTAACTGTAGGGACAAGCATCCCCAGTGCCACCTGTCGACTGTAGAACCCTGAACTCTTTGAGACCCGGGCCCACTGGCTCTGACCTGCAGGTCAGGGCCCTGGGTTGGTGGACACGCTGGTATGACATGGTGATGACCTATCCCTCCCTCCTCTCAGCCTCTCCCAGAATGTCTTCGCTTCGTCCAGACCAACATCTCCCACCTCCTGCAGGACACCTGCACGCAGCTGTTGGCTCTGAAACTCTGTATGGGGAAGGCCTGCCAGAATTTCTCTAGGTGCCTGGAGGTGCAATGTCAGCCAGGTAACAGCAGCACCGGAGCCCGGCACCCCAGTGCCACCCGGCTCACCGGAGCCAAGCATCCCCAGTGCCACCCGGCTCACCGGAGCCCGGCATCCCCAGTGCCACCCGGCTCACCGGAGCCCGGCATCCCCAGTGCCACCCGGCTCACCGGAGCCTGGCATCCCCAGTGCCACCCGGCTCACCGGAGCCAGGCATCCCCAGTGCCACCCGGCTCACCGGAGCCCGGCATCCCCAGTGCCACCCGGCTCACCGGAGCCCGGCACCCCGGCTCACTGGAGCCCAGCACCCCGGCTCACCAGAGCCCAGCACCCCCAGTGCCACCCGGCTCACCGGAGCACAGCACCCCGGCTCACCAGAACCCAGCACCCCCAGTGCCACCCGGCTCACCGGAGCACAGCACCCCGGCTCACCAGAACCCAGCACCCCCAGTGCCACCCGGCTCACCGGAGCCCAGCACCCCCAGTACCACCCGGCTCACCAGAGCCCAGCACCCCCAGTGCCACCCGGCTCACCAGAGCCCGGCACCCCCAGTGCCACCCGGCTCACCAGAGCCCGGCACCCCCAGTGCCATCCGGCTCACTGGAGCCAAGCACCCCCAGTGCCACCCGGCTCACTGGAGCCCAGCACCCCGGCTCACCAGAGCCCAGCACCCCCAGTACCACCCGGCTCACCAGAACTCAGCACCCTGGTGCCACCCGGCTCACAGCCCACAGTAATGCTTACTGTGTATCCTAGAGGCTTCTGCTTCCGTTAGCTGAGACTTGAGACAAGTTCTTTCTCCTTTCTTTTTTCTTTTTTAGAGACAGGGTTTCTCTGTGTAGTTTTGGAGCCTTTTCTGGATCTCGCTCTGTAGACCAGGCTGGCCTCGAACTCACAAAGATCCGCCTGCCTCTGCCTCCCGAGTGCTGGGACTAAAGGTGTGCGCCACCACCGCCTGGCTGGTCATTCAGCTTTTTATTAGACCAATCAGGTACCTTAGGCAGGCAAGGTGAAACAGCAACACATCTTTACATAGTTTAACAATTATTCTGCAACACAAATACAACACATTTTTACTTAGTTAAACAAATAATGTGGCTCATGACATTTTCAGACTATGTAGGCTAGGCTGGCCTTGAACTCAGAGCAATCCTCCTGCCTGTCCTGATTACAAGTGTGAAGCCCCCACATCTGGCTTCATAAGTTTTTTTTTCACATTTTTTACACATATTAATTATATATAATGATGTGTCTCATGACATTTTCATACGTGTCTCCCTGTCTCACGGATCCCCTTCCTCTTTCTAACTAGTCCCTCTTCTATTTTTTAAGCCAATGAGGTCAGTTGACTCCAGGAACCATGCCTGAGAAGTTGTTTACAGGGCACCTTACCAGTGGCTGTTACACTACTGAAGAAAATGTCTTTTCCTACCTAGCAACCATTAACTGCAATAGATGCTTGGGGAGGGTCAGACACGCCTTTTTTTTTTTTTTTTTTTTTTTTTTTTTTTTTTTTTTTTTTTTGGTTTTTCGAGACAGGGTTTCTCTGTGTAGCTTTGCGCCTTTCCTGGAACTCACTTGGTAGTCCAGGCTGGCCTCGAACTCACAGAGATCTGCCTGGCTCTGCCTCCCGAGTGCTGGGATTAAAGGCGTGCGCCACCACCGCCCAGCCAGACACGCCTTTTTATGACCTCTGTTTACCTGTCTTTGAACTTCCAGTCTGTTTGTCTAGGACTGTCCTGTCCACTAAGAAGGGAAACTGATTGAGCCACAGGTTTCTGGGTAACAATAATTTTTTCTTTCTTAGTTTTTGTTTTGTTTAATTTTGAGACAGGGTCTCTCTATATAGCCCTGGCTGCCTGTAACTTTTTATGTAGATAAGGCTGAGATCCTCATGCCTCTGTCTCCTGAGTGGTGGGATTAAAGGTGAGGCCAGCCTGGTCTACAGAATGAGTTCCAGGACAGCCAGGGCTACACAGAGAAACCCTGTCTCAAAAAAAAAAAAAAAAAAAAAAAGTATGGGCCATCATACCCAGCCAGGCTCATACTTTTTTTTAATTAATTAATTTACTTATTTAGATTGTGTGTGTGTGTATGTGTGTGCAGAAGAGAGTATTGGATTGGTAGCTCCTGGAATCAGAGCTACACTTGTGAGCTGCCATGTGGGTGCCAGGAATTGAACCTGGGTTCTCTGGAAGAGCAGCCAGTGCTCTTAACCACTGAGCCATCTCTCCAGCCCCAGGCTCATACTTTTTATATCCAATTTGGTTTGTTTATTTTTGAAAGTGTTTCACTAAACATCCCTGTCTGCCCTGGAGCTCACTATGTAGACCAGGCTAGCCTCAAATTCACAGAGATGCATCTGCTTTTGCTCCAGAATGCTGGTTAAAGGCGTATGCTGCCTGGCCTATCTCCCCCCCTCCAAGTTTTCGGTTGTTTGTAGGCCCCTCATGCACTGTTACCCATGGTCCTCCAGGACTTCCAGTGTCTGCTCTGGCGAGTGCCTCAGTGACCTGGTTCTGCTCTCTCCCCAGACTCGTCTACCCTGCTGCCCCCAAGGAGTCCTATCGCCCTAGAAGGCACCAAGCTTCCAGAACCTCCGTCCAGCCAGCTCTTGCTGCTGCTGCTGCTGCTGCTGCCTCTCACGCTTGTGCTCCTGGCCGCTGCCTGGGGCCTTCGCTGGCAAAGGGCACGAAGGAGGACGGCGCTCCGCCCTGGGGTGAGCCCAGAGTCCAGGGCAGTTGGAGGGAGTGGGTGGCAAGGGATGAGGGTGGCAGGTGGCTGACCTTGTGGGGGCCTCAGGTGCCCCTCACCTCCCATCCCTAGGATATGACACTTGTGCGGCATTGACTCAGCCGGGGCTTATCTCGGTGAGTCTTCCATTTATACTGAGCATGGAATGGCCAGGCTTGGGGATAGAGAGTCAGTCCAAGATGGGGGGGGTCTCACTATGTCTCACTGGAGTGGCAGGGGTTCAGGGGAGTGGTGTGGTGTCCGGGGGAAGAGAGCAGCCTTTGATAAGCTTCCAGTGTGGCAAAGCTCAGGGGCTTCTGAAGCTGCCACCATCAGAAGGCAGCAGAGAGCCATGGAAGGCTGTGGGGAGGAGCCTGGTGTGGGAAGAAGGCAAGAAGGCAGGTCCCCCGCAAGTACCCATATTTTAGAGTTCACTGTGTGCTTTACACACATGCCTCTCCTGGAGGTTATACCTGTAGTCCCAGCACTTGAGAGGCCAGAGCAGGGCGGCTGCTGCAATGTCTGGCCACCCTGGGCTACATGGTGAGTTCAAGGCCATTGTGAGATACACAGTGAACCCTTGTCTCCTGTCTCAAATAAACAAACAAAAAACGCAATTCAGTGACACTTATTTTTTTGCAGATGAGGTCTCACTATGTTGCTCAAACTGACTTTGAACACCTCGATGAATCTTCCTGTCCCAGCCTTCCCAATAGTTGGGCCCGTAGGCATGTTATGTACAACAAGGCTTTTCTCTTTCTTTTTTCTTTGTTTTCTCGGTGCTAGAGTTGGGAACCAAAACAAGGAACAAGCTAGGCAAATACTGTGCTACTGAGCTACATCCCCTGCCCAGAGGACACAGTGTCCAGGCATGGTGATGGACATCGGTAATCCAGTACTTCTGAACTGGAAATGCTGAAGCTGGAGGATACTGACTTTAAGAAAAACAAAAAGGAAGAAAAAGAAAGAGAGAGGAACACTGTAGCCCTGTGTGGTGGCTTCTGTCATCCCAGCTCCTTAAAATAAAGAACGACTGCTGGGTATGGTGCTGCGTGCCTGTGACCTTAGTAAGAGGCTGAGGCAGAGGGATCGAAGCTTCAAGGCCAGCCTGGGCCACTGAATGAGCTCTGCCTCAAAATAACAATGAAAAACGGGAATGCTGGGGTGGACCTGGAGCCCAGTGGCAGGCAGGCCCTGCACAAGGAAGGCCCTGGGTTCCCTCTGCTGCTGTCACCGACACTAGAACACGGGACAGTCTCTAAATGTTGTGGTTTCCCACTTCTGGGCTTGTTTCTGAAACGCACCATTTATCAGACATAGTGGCACATGTCTGTAATCCCAACTCTATTTATTTATTGTTTTCTGAGATGGTCTCTATGTAGCTCAGATGGCCTGGAACTCGTGGGTAATCCATCCCTCTACCTTTGGAGTGCTGGGATCACAGGTGTGTACTATCATACTAGATGGCAATTCCCCTTTTTAAAAAAATTAATTCGACCCTCCCCAAAATAAATAAAACTTGAAAAATAATTACACATGGGGGTATAACTGTGGCGTGGTGCCTGTGTGCCAGTCAGCGGACACCTGCAGGAACCAGTTCTCTCCTTCTACCAGGTGGGTCCCAGGGATGGACTCAGGTTTTCAGGCTTGGTGGCAGAGGCCTTTCATCCATTAAGCCAGTTTGAGGAGTGCCATGATTTGTTTTGTTTGTTTGTTTGTTTTGAAACAGGGTCTCATGTAGCCCCATCTGACTTGGAACTTGCTGTGTAGACCAGGCTGGCGTGAAACTCAAGAGATCCACCTGCCTCTCCCTCCTCAATGATAGGATTAAAGGTGTGTGTCACCATGCCTGGCTGTAAGACTCCCTTTGGAAAAACCAAAACCAAAACCAAACCAAACCAAACCAAAAAAACAAAATCTGGGAGCAGATTTTGTGGTGCAAGGTCTCTGCACCCTGGAGAAGAGGCAGAAGGGTCAGGATTCTGGGTTATCTCCTGGTACATAGAAACTCCAGGCTAACCTAAAGGGGTGGAGTGGGGGAGGGACGGGTGAGGAGGGGAGAGTGTAGCTCAGTGGTAAGCGGCTTTGCTGAAAAGGGATGGGGGCGTGGCTCAACGGTAGAGTGCTGTCGTCGGACAGACCATTGATGATCCAGTGTTACAGAGGAGGAGACTGAGGCCAAGCAGGAGTCACGTGACAGACGTTGCACAGCCTGGACACAGGGAAAGTTGGGTGGAGGCTGGCCCCCTCTTGGACCTCGCTGCCCCTCCAGCTCTCTCCCTAGGATGAAGTCAACATCAGAAACCAGCAAAAGCCCTAATCACCCCACTCTGTACAAAGTCTTTGCCCCCATGAACTTGGATATAAATGGTTTTTACCAGCTCGTCCGGACCTATCTGTGGACGGGACAGGGCGTGCGTGGGCTGTTTTAGGTTTCAGGATCCTGGTTTTGCAGTGCTTGGTGATGTAATCCCAGCTCTCCAGAAGCTGAGGCAGGATCTCAAGTTTTTAAGGCCAGCCTGGATTGCAGAACTCCTATGTCAAAAGCCAAAACCAACGACAAAAGGTTCTGTTTGTTTTCTGAGGCCTCCAATGGCCCAGAATCATCACTGAGAAATGCTCCCTGGAGCCCTGATGGGAGGCAGGAGCAGCCCAAATTCCCCAAGGCCATGGCCGCAAAGTGTTGGAGCTTCCAGGAGGAATCGACTCAGGCTGGGATGTTTGGGAAGGTTCTCTAGAGAAAACGAGTTACGGAGACTGCCCAATTTACTTGTCTGGCTAGTTTTCTGGGGGAGGGTATCTCACATAACGTGCACAGCTGATGCAGAGGCCTTTGGACACAGACGCAGGTGGGTGTGGCTCGGGAACCTGGAAGTCCTTCCTTCCCCCAACTCCTCCGTCTTGGGTAACTAACTACACCTGTTTAATATTCACAAACTCCTAGACTCAGAAAAGGCCTGCAGTTGTCTTGCACACCGTGAGGTTGAAGGGAGGGAACGCAAACCGCTACACTTCTACCGCAAACACGGACGAGCTGGCCAGGGCTTATGCTCGCCCCCTCACGGCCACCACGTGTTCTGCAACCGTCATTACGTGGGAGTAATGGCGCTCCACACAGCGGATATATCAATGGAGAGGCGCACTCCCTCCAAAATATGGCCGCCGGGGCTGGACGGCCTTGTCCTACTGAAGCCGCCCCGGGACCCACGTGACCTCTCGCCCCGCACAGTCATGGCCTCCCAGGTCCCGCTCAAACGATACCTTGATTGGACAATATAAAGATGGCCCACCTTCCAGTGTGCGCACGCAGACGGCTTCGGCCAATGAGAAGACAGAATTCCTTCTGTTCGGCCCAGCCTACGTCACTTCCTCCGCCCCTGCGGCAAGGGATAAGAAACCCTGCGCCAAGACCTCCTCCTTTCCCAGGCGGCTGCCGAAGATGGCGGAGGGGCAGGTTGGGCTCTGCGCGCGCCGGGCGGTGTGGGGGGTCGGGTGGGTTCCAGGCGGGAGCGGAATGGGGGCGTCCGCCCCTCTCTACGTGCGCGATGGGACTTAAGGACGGCAGTTAAGAAAAATAGGAACGCTTTGACGCGAAGGGAGTGTGAGACGTGGGCATAGCATGCCGCGGATATCTTTAGGTATGGGGCGAGGAGAACGCGACGTTTTTCCTGGGGACTGACTGGACGGGAGTGGAACTTGGGTTCCCAACACCTGGAAAGAACTTCTACAGATCTCATCCCAGGCAATTGGGATGCGGGAAGCTTGGGGTCGCTCGTTGCTGGGTTTGTACGTTCATGTGGCACTAGGAATGGGAATTGCTGAAATGGAGGCTCCTGTTTTCGTGACTTAGGGTGCTGCTTTCCTATCGCTTCTGGTACTATAACAAGTAATCCTGTTAAGTGTGTTTCAAAGTTCTCCAGTGTGAAGGGGTGAATTCCTGAGACAGACATGTAAAATCAACTATTCTGTAGAGTGCGGGAGAAGCATCGTGATTTTGAGGCTAGTCGGGAATCGAATTGCACCTTTCCTATTACTTTCAGATGCTTTAAAGGAAAGTCGCTGCTGGAGAAGTCTGTAGTAAATGATGCTATCTGTGGGACATTTTTGCCCTTGAAAATACCTGGAGGATCTCTAGGAACAGAGCAGAAACTTATCTCTATGAATAGTAGAAAAGAGAGGATAGTTGTGGAGTGGGTTTCTGTGTGACTATCCTGTAGTTTGGGCTGGTTTATAGGCACATGTCAGCCACCGTGTCTGAGAGTTGAAGACTGTTCTTCACTGCTGTCCAGAATTAAAAACTAGACAGAAGAGCCATTTTATATATATATATTAAGATTTAGCTTAGCATAGAATTTGTCGTGGTGCAGGGTGTTCACACATGAGCAAGTACATCTCAACTATCCAGCATTTTGAGGCTTGGTAGGTGACATGGTGAAGGTCTGTTAAAAAGATTTCAAGGCGAGTCGGGCGGTGGTGGCGCACGCCTTTAATTCCACCACTTGGGAGGCAGAGCCAGGCGGATCTCTGTGAGTTTGAGGCCAGTCTAGACTACAGAGCGAGATCCAGGACAGGTACAAGCTACACAGAGAAACCCTGTCTCGAAAAACTTTAAAAAAAAAAAAAAAGGAAAGAAAATTTCAAGGCTTAAAAGTGGAATGCCGAAATACTGAAGGCACCTGAAGTCTTCTCTCTTACCGCTGCTGGACCAGCCTTAGGCTCTCTCGGTTTGTTGTGTCCCTTTGGGGCACTTTTTTAATCTGGTTGATAGGCATGCTGTGGGAAAAAGCACTCGAGGGTTTGGTGACTTGGGGTAGGGAGAGCCAGATTGCTTCCTAAACCTTTTTGTCTCCCACAGGTTCTAGTGCTGGATGGCCGAGGCCATCTTCTGGGCCGCCTGGCGGCCATTGTGGCCAAGCAGGTACTGCTGGGTGAGTTTCATTCAGGATTTCCCTGCTGTCTGGGAGTCAATGATGAGCAATAATCACCATCTTTCGTTTGAGTCTCACGACGGTGAGATCAACCCATGCACCGCTCTGAGACTGGCCAGCCCCGCCTTGCTCGGGACTCCTGGGCAGAAGTGATTCTGGAGCAGTTTTGCTTTCCATCCTAACTCCACAACCCGTGTTTTCTCTAGGCCGGAAGGTGGTGGTTGTGCGCTGTGAGGGCATCAACATTTCTGGAAATTTCTACAGAAACAAGCGTGAGTTAGGGGTTAGGGCCTGGGGATGGTCTCCAGGTGGGGCACTGACTGGAGTCCAGGACTAGGTGCTGTTTCTGGGACTGAGGAGGCCTCATCCACTTTTCTCTTGACAGTAAAGTACCTGGCGTTTCTCCGAAAGCGGATGAACACCAACCCCTCTCGAGGCCCCTACCACTTCCGAGCCCCGAGCCGCATTTTTTGGCGCACTGTGCGAGGTGAGCTGGGCCTGTGGGTGACATGGGGAAGGTGGGAATCTGACAGCCTATGATGAGGATATCTCCCACTCATGTTCGAGTTTCCCAACTATGAGATGACTCTACATGCACTACCATCTGAGGCTGGCTGGTCTCCCTGCTCTGGGCTAAGAGGGGAATTTTTAGCCCCCCTGAAAAGGAGACCTGCTATTCTTCCCACAGGCATGCTGCCCCACAAGACCAAGCGCGGCCAGGCTGCCCTGGAACGCCTCAAGGTGTTGGATGGGATCCCTCCACCCTATGACAAGGTGAGCTGTGCAAGCCAAGCCTCCTCCCAGCCTCTGTGCATCCGGCGTCTGTGATGTTCCGCTGTTACCTACATTGTTTGAGCCTCATGAAAACTCCTCTGGCTGAGACGCCTGCCCCAGCAGCCTCCTTCCCAGGTGTCCTTCACCGCAGGTCTCTGAGTCCTTCTCCTTCTCCAACAGAAAAAGCGGATGGTGGTCCCTGCGGCCCTCAAGGTTGTGCGGCTGAAGCCTACCAGAAAGGTAAGCTCCAGGTTGCAGAGTGGGGACTGGGTGGGACCTCAAGCCTGGCAGATGATGGTTTCCTTTCTCACGATGGTCTGCGGATGCCACTGGTGGGCAGTGCCGATAATGCCACGGGCTCAACTGATGCCAGGAGGGGATGCGGTGTGGGGGTGTGTCCTTTCATAGAATCTCTAGGGTCCTCTAGCTGACCCTTGTGCTGCTGGGGCACCTTCCATGTCCTTACAGCTTTGTGCCCCTGCAGTTTGCTTACCTGGGACGTCTGGCTCATGAGGTCGGGTGGAAGTACCAGGCAGTAACAGCCACTCTGGAGGAGAAGCGGAAGGAAAAGGCCAAGATCCACTATCGCAAGAAGAAGCAGCTCTTGGTGAGGACAGGACCTGTGCACCCCAGGGTATGAGAGGGTAGTCCTGGGAGAGAAGCCACCACTTGACCCCCACTTGTCTTTTTACCCCACAGAGGCTACGGAAACAGGCTGAAAAGAATGTGGAGAAGAAAATCAGCAAGTTCACAGAGGTCCTCAAGACCAATGGACTCCTGGTGTGAGCCCAATAAAGACTATTTGCTTCATGCCTGCCTGGTCTGCTCTTCCTCCCGCCGACCAGGGAAGTGGGGACAGGTGCTTTGGTCAGGCTCCTGTGGGAGAGGGTACTTTTTAAACAGCTCTGAGAGCTTTAGCGCCTGCTTGGTGGGTTTGATTAAAGGAACAACCATGCAATCGAATTGCTTGGGCCCATCAGACCCAGTGCCATATTCTGCAGCTGTGAGACCAGGCACACACCTGGGCTGGGATTACACGTGCACACTGAAGGCAGTGCCTTTGCTCCTTCTCAAGACTGATCAGAAAGCAGCTTTGTTCTCCTGCTGCAGGGTTCTACATGCTAATAAATTATTTGACTATGAGGAAACTGGTGTCTTTGCCCTGTGTCTGCTGTGTAGGCAGGGCCAGCGGGGCACCATCCAAGGAATAAAAGCTCAGGTGACATTGAGCCGGGCTTCATTCATGGTCTGCCCCCTTCATTGAAGGCACGGTGGGTCAGGTGATTGGTTGCTCAAAAGGTGCAGGCACTAATCATCTTAGATCCTGCCTGAGGTAGTTTTCAAAGTATGGGATTGTCACTGGAACTTAGGCTCCAGGAATTCAGAATACCCAAAATGAGTTAAGCCTAGGATGAAGGGTACAGAAAATGGTGAGTTTGGTCAGCCAGTGTGAGCCTGGAAAGGAGGGATTAAGGGTCGGAGGGATAAAGATCACTTTTAGTGGCTCCAGAGGATCCAACGCTCATGGGGCCCTCAGTGGAATCCCATACATGTTAGACATACATACACTCAACTCAAACCAGCTACCAAAATGAAGCTGGGCAGTGGTGGCGCATGCCTTCAGTCCCAGCACTTGGAGGCAGAACCAGGCGGATCTGGTGGTCTACAGAGATCTAGGACAGGCACCAAAACTACAGAGAAACCCTGTCTCAGAAAAAAGTGAAACGGTGTCGTTTTTCATGGTTGTAAGTGTCCCATTCATCCTTAAGCTCTGCTATGACCAGGATCTTTCCTCATGAGAACTTAAAACATGGTTTTTGGAGACAGAGTTTCTCTGTAGCCTGGCTACCCTGGAACCCATTCTGTAGACCAACCTGACATCAAACCTGGAGGTCCTACTGCCTCGGCGTCCCAAGTGCTGGGATCAAAGGCGAGGACTACCACTTAACTGTGTAGAATTGTGGTAGTGGGTCCATACACATGGATGGCTCCCTGAGCCACACCTTCAACTATAGAAAGCTGTCACTGCCACAAAAAGGAAACCCAGGTGACTGGCTTTATTGTGGTCCCTCCGTTTGGGCGAGGAGTGGTCATCTAAGATCACACATTTGGCCAGAGCTATCGGGACATAAACCCAGGAGGAGAGATTTACCCCAGCTGGCCCTCCTGGTCAGGACGACTTGTGACAACACGGACCCTGTCCAAACACAAGTAAATTAACTTGGTAACTGCCTGGTTGAAACACCTGTAGTTTCAACTACTTGGTAGTTTGAGGTAGGGACACAATTTCAAGAACAGACTTGACAGAGACCTTGCCATAAAAGCATCGGATTACAGAAGCGGGGCCAGTCAACACTAGCCATAAGCCACGTGTGTATGTATGTACGCTTAAGTTTAACACAAGGAAATAAAGCTGACGACTTAAGAAAACGGAGGGCAGCCAGTCCCTCGAACCAATGCCCTACTTCGCTGAGAACGGCTGGGTGTCCCCGGCGCCTCCTGAGCTGTCCTCCCCCAGGAAACGTTAAATGCCCTGCTTCGTGTCAATATTCTGTACACCAACCACGGAATGGTTCGTGAACAACTCCCACAAGACGGGCCACCACCGCTTCGGCTCGGAAAACTGAATCCCGCCACGCGGTTCCCACACTCCCTGTGGGTGCAACGCCTGCAGAAACCAGACCCGCCCCTCACGACTCTCGCGATACCACAGGATGCGCCTTGGAAAGCCACCTAAGATCTCGCGAGATGACAAGCTCTGCTTCCTGCCGCGATAGACCTCCATCATGGCGGCGTACGGACATCAGTCCCAGAATCGCGCGCTCTGTTCCGGAAGTACCTCCCAAATCCGTAAAGGGTTGACCACGTCACTTCCGCTCCAGACCTCGCGGAGTCGATAAGGAAGCCCGGGAGTGAGCCCACCTCTCTTTTTCTCAGGCCGCCGGGAAGATGGCGGACATTCAGGTGCGAGCTGCGGGTTAGCGCCGCGTCTGGGCCCGGCGCTTCAGTGTGGATGTTCTTCCTTAGCGTTATCTTACGACTTAGGCGAAGCGAGGGCGCCTGCGTGTGTCTTCGTCTGATGAGCGATTCCGAAATCCTGGGGTTTACACAGTAACGGGGTCCCGAGCGCTTTGGGAGTTAGTCCTTTAAACTCGGCGCCTGGCAGATGATGGTTTGGGCGGCGGCCGTCCGGCGGGACCGGAGGTCTGAGGGCAGAAAACAGGGAGGCGGGTGTAACCATTTTCTCCCTAAATGGAGATTGAGCCCCGGGCCTCGTGGTCGCTAGTACAGCGCTGTAACGCAAAGCGTCCCGGCGCTTGGTGTAATTTTGCATTTTGACGCAGAGTCTGGCCTTTAGATCACCTTTAGATCTTGGACTTGTCATCCTCCTGCCTCAGCCTTGTGAGTACCTGGATGACAGGCCACCAGGCTCAGCTACGTATACATACGGTGTGAGTCCTGAGTGGGTGAACTTGCGTGTTTTGGAAAACCAACATCCTGAGAGGCCATGGTTTTGGTCTAAGACCGTGATTCTGCAGGCCGTGAAACGTGTTAGAACCTAGTGTGTGAGCTAAGAAATTTTGGGTGATTGTGTTTATAGGGTCGTTGTGGGGCAGCGGCCCTCCGAGGCTGGCGTAAAGGGGTGAAAGCTGTAAAAGGGTGGGGGGAAGAGCTATATCCGTGGCCTCCTCGAAGTTTAACCTGTAACTTCGCCAAACTCTCAATCCCTGCAGACGGAACGTGCTTACCAAAAGCAGCCCACAATCTTTCAAAACAAGAAGCGTGTTCTGCTTGGAGAAACCGGCAAGGAAAAACTCCCTCGGTACTACAAAAACATCGGTCTAGGCTTCAAGACGCCCAAGGAGGTACAGGACCCTCCAACAGATGAGACTTGTGTATTTCTGCATGTGTGGGAGCACGCCTCTTCTCAGTGGCTGACCCTCGAGCTCCTGGGAGTTGTAGTCTGGATGTGAGGCTACATTATTTTTGGTTTTTTCGAGACAGGGTTTCTCTGTGTAGTTTTTGGTGCCTGTCCTGGATGTCACTCTGTAGACCAGGCTGGCCTTGAACTCACAGAGATCCGCCTGCCTCTGCCTCCCGAGTGCTGGAATTAAAGGTGTGCGCCATCACTGCCCAGCCGAGGCTAAATTCTTGGTTCTATTTAGGAACCAGTAGTCTAAGCCACGCTTTCTCATCCTTTCAGGCCATCGAGGGCACCTACATAGACAAGAAATGCCCCTTCACTGGTAATGTCTCCATCCGAGGTCGGATCCTGTCTGGTGAGTGGGAAGTTAAGTGTGGTCCTGGGTTCCTGAGTCCAGGACTGCTGGCACATGATGTCTGTTTTCACGATGGTCTTCAGACAGCCCCAAGGGCACTGCTGAGACAGCCGATTGGCACAGCTGATGCCAGAGATGGAACTTCCTGGAGCCCCACTCAGCCGCTTTTCCAGCAGTCTGAGTTACTCCTGGCTGCTGACACCTTCCTGTCCACTTCCCTCAGGTGTCGTGACCAAGATGAAGATGCAGAGGACCATTGTCATCCGCAGGGACTACCTCCATTACATCCGGAAGTACAATCGCTTTGAGAAGCGCCACAAGAACATGTCTGTGCACCTGTCTCCCTGTTTCAGGTGAACGCAGTGTTTTGATAGCCTAGGTCAACCTGACACAAAGCAGGGAGTCACTGGCTGGGCTGGAGAAAGCACCTGTGTCAGGAAGGGCCGCTGGTGGGAGAGCCCTTATTTTGGAAAGGGTGACTTTGGGAGAAAGTGGGGTGTCCTGGTTCAGAATCTGGGGAAGAGCAGCCAAGGGAAGCTAAATGTCTGGGGGAATGAAAT